TGGGGAGGGAGAGAGAGGTGGTAGGGGATGCTCATGTGGACTGGTATCCTGGAAGACGCTGGTGTTCACACTCTTTTCTTCTCTTTCTTTTCTTTCTCTATGACTATATTTTCTTTATATTATAAAAATGCTGAATTTGGTATAGATGCATAAAGTTAGATAGGTATCGGTTAGATCTTGTGATCTTTGGACAAAGCAAGCCGGAACGACAACAAACATGCTATAATTAATGAAACCCTAGCCACGAAATAAAAGGAGTTGAATGGAAATGTGGTTAAACCATATATTTTGATATGTAATGAAACAAATCCATTATAGAAAACGGTATTGTGTATGCAATGTGGTTTCTGGTGAAATGTTAGTCATTTTTGAAATTTTACATTTTTTTTTTTTTACATTTTCTATTTATGTTTTTATATTTTTTACTGTTGGGGGGGCTGCAGTGAAATATCTGGGGTCTAAATAGACCCCTGACATTTCCCTTTTGAAATAGAAAAAGAAATTGAGGACATAAGTCCTCAATTTCTTTTTCTGCAGCCCCAGTACTCAATTTATTTTTCTGCAGCCCCAGCACTCAATGAATGGGAAGCACTCAGTACAGAGGCTTCTCATTCATTCACAAACTAATGATAGTAAAAATATCTTACTATCATTAGTTTATGAATGGGGAGGAGCCTCTGTAGTGAGTGCTAGTCCCCATTCATAAATTTTTGAATGAACAGGCTGTGATGTAAATCACAGCCTGTTCATTCATAACTCGGGACACATAGTACTATGTGTCCCCAGTTATTTACAAACACCGGAGTGATCAGACGATCACTCTGGTGTTTGCTGTAAACAGAGGGATCGTTAAATATCAATGATATTCAACGATCCCCGCTCGGCCACGCTGCAGAGCCGCTGTCATCCAAAAACTGACAGCATGACAGCGGCTCCGATCGGAAGACCGCTCGGCCATCCTAAATTGCGGCCAGCCGCTGCTTGCTCCCCGACCCCCCCCCCCCCCCCGCCGGTGATTTTATTACGGATCCCCGCTGCAACAGACCCTACAAGCGGGGGACAGCAGCGGGGATCCATGGAGTCTCTCATCCCTCCCTGGGGTGAGCTTATAGTAGAACTGTAAATGCCAGGTCCGTAAGGCATACTGAGCTGGCCAGCCAGAAGCACTTTTGTACCTCCATATGCCGTACGTCCTTGGCAGCGAAAGGGTTAACAAACACAATAAACTGAGGTGGTTGGGTGGCACCGCCACTTTTATTTTTATCACAAACATATCAAATATGTTAATTGGCATGTAGAATCATGATATTCCACCTATAATTCCCTTGTAGAAAAATATTCATATCTATTTTGAGATTGTAAGCCCTCAGGGGCAGGGCCCTCCTTACCATCTTGTCTTGAATTGTATTGTGATTGTAATGTCTTCCTTATATTGTAAAGCACTGCGCAAACTGTTGGCGCTATATAAATCCTGTATAATAATAATGTCATCAGAAACAGGTTAAATATGTTTCATGGCATGTGTAACCATGATATTCCACCATTAATCGCCATGTAGAAAAATATTACCATATTTCAGTCAGAAAAAGGTTAAATATGTTCCTTGGCACATGAAAGCATAATATTCCACCCATAATCCCCATGTAAAAAAATAATTATTCCCATATTCTTATCAAAAAAGGTTAAACATGTTCCTTGGCAATGTGTAGCCAGGATATTTTGCCCATAATCCCTATGTAGAAAAATATGTATATCTATATTATTATCAGAAAAAGGTTAAATAATATGTTCCTTGACATGTGTAACCATATTTGTCCACCCATAATCCCCATGTAGAAAAATATTAATACCCATATTCTTATCAGAAACAGGTTCAATATATTCCTAGGCATGTGTAACCATGATATTCCACCCATATTTCAGTCAGAAAAAGGTTAAATATGTTCCTTGGCATGTGTATGCATGATATTCCACCCATGATTCCCATGTAGAAGAATAATTATATCCATATTCCTATGAGAAAGAGATCAGATATGTTCTTTGGCACGTTTAAATCACGATTTTCTACCCATAATCCCAACGTAGAAAAATCATTTTAACCATATTCCAGTCAGAAACGGATCAAATGTATTCCTTGGGGTGTCGTTAAAATATATTCTACCCATAATTCCCATGTATAAAAATAATTATAACCGTGTTCTTATCAGAAACAGGGTAAATATGTTCCCTGGTATGTATAACCATAATATTCCACCCATAATCCCAATGTATAAAAATTATACCCATTTTCTTAACAGAAACAGTTTAATTTTGTTCCTTGGGATGTGCAACCATGGTATTCCACCCATAATCCCTATGCATAAAATAATTATACCCATATTCTTATCAGAAACGGGATAAATATATTCCTTGGCATATATCCTGTACATGCATATACTCATATGCCAGAATCATGATATTCCACCCATTTTTTTGTGAAAAAATAATTATACCCATATTCTTATCAGGAACAGGTTAAATATGTTCCTGGGGATGTGTAGCCATGATATTCCACCCATAATCTCTATGTAGAAAAATAATTATAAACATATTTCTAAAAGAAAGAGGTCAGATATGTTCCTTTACATGTGTAACAATAATATCCCATCCATAATCCCCTTGTAGAAAAATAATTATACCTTGTAGAAAAGTATTTGTTTTCATATTCCTATGAAAAAGAGGTCACATATGTTCCTTGGCATGTTTAATCATGATATTCCACCTATATTGCCCTTGTAGAAAAATAATTATCCCAAGGACTATATTTGACCCATATTCTTATCAGAAACAGGTCAAATATGTTCCATGGGATGTGTATCCATGATATTCCACCCATAATCCCAATGTAGAAAACAAATTATATCAATATTCATGTGAGAAAGAGGTCAGATATGTTAATTGGCATGTGTAATCATGATATTTCACCCATAATACCCTTGTAGAAAAATAGTTATACCCATATTATGAGAAACAGGTTAAATATGTCCCTTGGGATGTGTAACCATTATATTCCACCCATAATCCCCATGTAGACAAATTATTATAACCATATTTTTTTTCATAAAAAGATTAAATGCGTTCCTTGGCATGTGTAACCATGATATTCCACCCATAATCCACATGTAGACAGATTCTAACCATATTTTTTAACGCAAACCTGTTAAATATGCTTAGTATGGGTAATTATAATATTGTACCAATAATTCCCATACATTAAATATATCTACCTAGTCTTGCAAATTTATTGACTCATTTCGCTTTTATATCTGTCATTTACAATTGAATTCCATCATGCAACTTTATATACATCAGGAAGTGAATAGTTCTGCAACTAGTCTGCAACTATTATTTGCAAATTAGTATCAAGCTTTGCAGAAAAGAACATACATATTCATTTCCATGTAAGTGTGAAAAAAAATATACTGACACCTAGTGATTGCGCTGAGCATATGCAGCCAATCATCCTAATATGCGGTTTAGTACATCGGTCGCCAACCGACCACTAGATACATTTTTGGATATATATATATATATACATATATATATATATATCCGTGAGGTCCAAAAGGTTGGCGACAGCTGGTTTAGCATGTCCTCGATTACACCGACCCATCAGGTTTTTTTTTTTTTATGTGGTCTGTGTCTCCATTAGGAAGTTACCTTCTCTATTTGCCCTGGTGACTGGTATCAATGAATGCGAAAGAAAATCCCACATTTTAGGCTGTAATCAGAACAGGAATAGTGGGACATTTTCCAACAGAGACACTGGTTCTAGTGACCCTGTTTGTGACCACCAGGATGTTCCCTCACTTTGGAGGAATTTCCTCTCACTCTCTGTTGTGGACATG